TTTTAGGATTAGTAGGTTATTACCGATTATTCCACTCATGTGTTAGAAATCCCATAAGACAAGTGACGATTTTCAGAATAACAGCGAAAATTCTCTTTTCCATTTGATTAACTAGAGAGAATTACAGCGAAAATTCTCCCATGTTATTGTATACATGGTTGTCATGCTAATTTTTGATACAAACAAACGGTTCCTGATAGCAACCATTTATTTGTATTGATTGTTAAGATGTCCAAATCGTTTAATACATATTTATTTCCATATTTTTTGCATTCTCATACGTGAAATAATCCTCTAAATACCACTTGAGCTTTAAAATGAACCAGATAATTTTTCACTCATGCGTGTTTTCTGTGCAAATTTCACTCGTCCTACGGACTCGTGAAATTATAGAAAACACGCAATCGTGAAAAATTATCGGTAATTTTGAAGCTCTCGTGGTATTATCCCCGAAAATTCATAAAGAATTTTGCCAAATTGACCAAACCAATGACATCTTGTTTGAAAAAAGACAAAAAAATAATACACAATGCAGAATTTCTTAATAGCTTCGAAACTTGTAAAAATGTATTAATAAATGACCCAATATTACAACATCCTGACTTTAAGAAACCTTTCTTATTGACAACCGATGCCTCAAACTATGCAATTGGAGCCGTTTTATCTCAAGGTCCTGTCGGAGCTGATCTTCGCATTGCATACGCATCATGAACACTAAACCCAGCTGAATGTAATTATTCGACGATTGAAAAAGAACTTTTAGCAATCGTATGGGCAACAAAATATTTTCGACCTTATCTTTTTGGTAGAAAATTCACAATCTTGTCAGATCACAAACCTCTACAATGGCTATTTAATGTTAAAGAACCAAGTTCCAAACTAGTCAGATGACGACTAAAACTATCTGAATGTGATTATGAGATTAGATACAAAAAAGGAACATTAAACATGAATGCAGACGCACTATCAAGAATTCCTGCAATACAACTTCATGTCATTCAAAAATCAGATCCAGATGCCAGATTAACATCTTCAGATGAAGAATTTCATAAAAAATTAGGATTAATGCTGAAAGATACGCCATAATATAATGATGAAATCATAGCAAAATACTTTACAGATTCTAAAGTATAACTTCCCAAATAAAGCGAGATAGCTAAAGAAAAAGAGATAACAATGTCTGAATCATCTCAATCAACAAAGACGGCATCAGAAAAGGAACCTGAAGAGGAACCTAAGAAAGAAAAACCCAAAATAAAGATATTATCACAACTAATAATACCTCCAAGAAAAGAGAAAAAATAAATTCCCAAAGAAGATTCTCCTAAATCTTCGAAAACTCAAAAAAGTAACAGACAAATAACACCAACTAATCGTTCTTCAACAATTTCAGCCTTGTCTGAAAATGACCAAACAATACATACGTCTATGGAAAATCCAATATTAGGAGCTCCATATACTAAGAAACATGTTAATGTATTTGGAAATCAAATTGTATTTCGATATTCCAATAATAACACAATTAAAAAAGAGATAATCACACTATTTGGTAATAAAAAGAGAATAATATTCTTCTTATCAAATAATCCAACAACATCACAAATTACTAATTTAGTAAAGGAATACATGCCACCTGGTATTTATTGCCTTCATTTCCTAAATAAATCTTTAGAACCTATTGTGATACGAGCATTACAAGAATCGTTTAATTCGAATTCATTTACTTTGTACATCTCGAACTCTTTATTAGAAGATATCACAGACGTTGATCTTCAACAAGAGAAAATTCAGCAATATCATGAGACTAAAACCTCTCATAGAGGAATCACTGAAAATATTGCAGCCTTAAAGAAAAGATTCTATTGGCCCAATATCGAGAAAGACGTACAGAATTATGTCAAAGTATGCGAGATATGCAATAAAACCAAGTAGAGTAGAAATCAAACTAGAAGAAGCCACATGGATTATCGTTTGTCTCACTTTAAATGGTAGGGACGCAGAGAAAAGGAAATCTGCTTTCTTTGTCAGCGCTGATGACAGTGGCTTCTTCTCGTTTGATTTTTACTCTATGAACGTCAACCATACAAAATCATATTCAAACCAACACCCATTGGTATGAAACCCTTTGAACATATTTATATTGACACGTATATAATCAATAACCAGAAATTTCTGACCATTATTGATAGCTTTTGGAAATTTGGTCAAGCCTCTCCTGTAAATACGAAAACAGCTGTTGAGATATCATCACAGTTATTGAAATATTTTAGTGATCATGGAATCCCTCAATAAATCACATCAGATAATGGAGCAGAGTTCAAAAATGCTATAATGACAGATCATTGTACATTATACAAAATTGAGTTTCATTACACAACTCCAAGAAACCCGAACTCGAATAGTCCAATCGAAAGATTCCATTCGACACTACATGAAAGTATAACGAGTTTAAAACTCCAAGACCCGAATAAGAGTATTATTGATCTAATGACAATCGCTATATTGAATTATAACAACAGTACTCATAGTACAATGAATCACATCCCTTTTCAAGTAATTAAAGAAGATTTGAATTATGCCATGCCAATTGAACAAACGGAAAATAAACTAACAACTGACTATATAACAAGTTTGGCAGAATCCCTTGCGAATTTGAATAAAGAAATTCAAGAAAAATTATTAGCGAAACAAACAAAGTCATTAGAATCACGTAATAAAAATCGTGAATCTGAACCAGAATTACAAGATCCAATCTTTGTAAAACAATTTAATAGAGACAAGATAAGTCTGCGTTATGATAGCAAAACACAGAATCGCTTTGCTAAACAAAATGTTAAACGACAATAATTTATTTCAGGTACTCCGAGATGAATCCTTTAGTATTCCTAACTCTCGTTGGAGTCATCCAAGCGTATACATTGATGACGGTAAAAAATCCTATTTTACCAATCTCTTTAGGAACTACCTACTTACGTAACAACAACTCAACATAACACGACCTATTATCACATAAACACGACAATTATCATACAAAGTATCCATAAACTGGAAATTACCTTAATGAAATTATCTAACAGTCTTAACAAAACAACATGGTCAAACCAATTTGTTGCACTGTTTCAAACAAATATTGAAAACAGTCATTCTCAAATTAAGATTATGAAACAAGTAATCAGAACCTATCAAGATCGAAAACGTAATAAAAGAGGTCTATTAAATTTCATGGGCACAGCACAAAAATGGCTCTACGGGACCCTAGATGCTGAAGACGGCTCAATATGTGATTCTTATATCCAGACGCTCAATGATAATCAAAAGACTCTCAATGAAGATCTAAAAATACAAGCTCAAGTATTGAAACAAGTTACAAAAACATTTCACGATCAATTTTTAACTATTGAATCTAACCAAAAAGTTATCACAGGAAAATTACAAAATATTTCTTTGGAAAACCAAAATTTCCACTCAATGTTAACTTTTAATCTAATATTGAACAATATCAATATTCAAAGTAATAAAATAAGGAATCTTATTGATCATGTGCAATTAGCAATAAATTTTGCACAATAATTGGGAATAATGATGCATTATACTATTTTATAGCATAATGAATTAAATCAAATATTAACAAATATACCCAAAAGTCAGCAAATATCTTTTGATAATAAAATCAAGTATTACGAGACAATGAAAACTCAAGTAAAAATCAAAAATTAGTTAATTATATTTGTTATACACACACCAATGATTGATCCCAAGCCCTTTATATTGTATAAAATCTATCCAATTCCTATCCAAGAACTTAGGATTAGGAATAAGTACCCTTACCTATTACTTACTACGGACAATTACTACAATACTTTATGGGAATGCCCGAAAGTCGAAAGTGTGTACCTTTGTAACCAAGAAGAGCTGAAGCAAGAAGAATCATGTGTCTATGACCTGATTACTGACCTACCACAACAATGTCCTTTCACAAAAGTGAAATATGAAAAACCAACAGTGAGACAACTCCCGAATGGACAACTATTAGTCAGTCCTAAGAAAAGCCTGACGATAGTTATTCAATGTGACAAGACAAATCATATGGAAATAATAACTAATCCAACGCTAGTTTCTTTTGAAAAATGCTTTGTGAAAATACAAAATCAAACATTTTCAAAAACCAGCGAGAACTTCAACTGTGAACTGAAGATTCCAAGAATAGACATCCCTGGACTTCCAGAGAACGAAACAACATTGGAACTTCAAGAAATCCACCAAGAAGACTTAGAAGAAGCCTTCAAGACGACGAAACAGATAAGAGTTCATAATCTAAAAGAATTGTCTTTTGAACACTCTTATTTAAACACATATGTAATCATAGGTTTAAGTCTTGCTATTTTATTTTTAATTTTATTGTTTTACTGTTTCAGGAAGTTTAAAACTTCAGAAAAAGGTTGTGCAAATGTGCAAATTGAATTGTCTGATTTGAATTCACAACAATCCACGTTTGCAACATCTTAAGGAGGGAGGAGTTATATTAACCAATTGCCATGCTGATTTATAATCAATTATCTATTTTTTATATGCTTTAATGTGCTTACCCCTTTCCTCTAGGACTTTTTAAATACATTGTTGTAAAGTAAACATCAAATTGCTATGTCGGCATTAAATGCTTATTTAAGCCGACGCAGTCCCATAAGGAACGTTCATTTGTTTTCTGGCTTTTGCCTGTAGCAATTTGATCCACGTATTTTCTTTTGTCACCTCTGTATTTTAATCAATAAAATAAATGTTTTTTAAAATACAAGTTTCTGAATCGAAAATATAATTGGTTATCATTTTCAATAAATAAAAACGATAAATATTTATGCTGGTTTTCCATAAACGCAATCGATTTGGATGTTTTTTATGCTAAAAAAATTACTTCACATAGGTATCTATCAAAGTAACCAATTTAGATTAGCTCAGATTAGATTGAAGTAATTTATATATAAATTACAAGTTTTCGTAAGCCGAGTGCCTAATTAATTCTTGGTAAAGAAGTGTAAAATATTTTAAAAGAGGTAGGTAAGTGATAAAGAAAATTTCATTGTAACTTAGAGCAGGGTCAAGCGTCAATAATGTTTTAAATTTATGTGGGATTCTTTCGATTTTTGATAGAAATTATTGCGGAATCCTAAATAGAGTGCTACACAAGCAAGGATTTTGTTTAGAGACTTTGGATTTCAAATCGAAATGCACTGTAAATGGTTTTCAAAAAACAGCAACTGATTGATCATCAAATGTTCGCTGAACAGAAAAACTTTCACTCAATTTTCAAATCATGCAATTTCACTAAAGAAGAAATAATTTTCACTTATGCAATCAGAAATTTGCATCTTGGCATCAACGCAAGTTCATCAAAAGTTGAATTTTTCCTGGAATTCAAGTTATGGGACATAAACTGAACCTATTTCCACGCCATCAAAGTCAGGAACGTCCTCACTCAACATTTTTTTTATTTGCATAGCAATTTTCTGTATATTATTAGATAAAAATTCACATCGGTAGGTATGTACTTTGATAATTGCTTGAGTTTGAGATTCAAGTGCTTGATTTGCCAGACATTGATAACGTCTCTTATAGCATTAGTCATCAAACACTGCTAAAAAAAAATATTATCCATGCTATTTATTTTATATTCAACGTATTATTTTAGAAACTATGGATTATTACAATCTGCTAACCACCATAATAGCTTTAACCATGATAGCAAAATCGTCAGAAGATCGCTTATCAAACCAAGCGGGAGTCTACAAATACGATCTTTATCTCACTTTTACGGAAACAACTTTCACTCAATTTCCGTACGAATATGAAGGTTACATGATTATAACATTTGGAGGAAGGGAAGACCTACAGCTACACTCGGCAAGCGATTTCATTACTTACAAGTCTGTAAAACTAGAAGTAATGTCCAATGTTACTGATATTAGTGTAGATGTAGACGAAGAGAATGATGTTGCCACGTTTCTCGGCACTGAAACTGCAAGTCGGACAGCTTATCATTGTTTCTTGTATATTAATTATACAAGCAGGTAATTGGAAGGGTTTTAGTGTAGTGTAGATTTATTATTAGTTCTGCAAAGTTACTTGCTCACATGATGATAGATCTTGATAATCTAGAAGCCAAATATTTTGCCTTGCATTTTCAAGCTGATTCTCCTACAGATCTAGAAGATGTGGATGTACGTAATATGAACATATTTATTCTTATAACGGGGCTAGTAAGTAGGTACAATACATAAAACTGGTAGATATATAGTTAGTAGATTCTGTACAACCCATGATGGTCATTTGAGATTTTTCCTCATACCTACTGCCAATTAATAATTATTACAATTAAAAAGTTCATTTTGCTTTTAAGAATCAACAAAAACCATTTCCATTAGGGTAATTTTTCATAGCAATTGAAGAATTTTTTATACATAGATTAAGCCAAGATGATATGTACGGTCTATACAAAACCACTTACAAAACCAATGGAAAAACCACCTACATGCTGGGATCTCAATTTCAACCGACCTATGCCCGAAGAGTATTTCCTTGCAAGGACGAACCAAGCTATAAAGCACCAATTCGCTTGAATATAACTCACCCAGATAACATGGACGTTTATTTTAATACACCTGTTGATGTTTATATATTGCCTGACGATGATGAAACGTAATTGTCCTAATATGAAAAAAAATATCTCAATAAATGATAATTCGTTTTAGATATAATATAACATATCATCTTATGACTGATGAGATGGCAACATACACGGCAGGTCTATTACTAGCCTTTACCGAAGATTATACTTGTTCTGTAGGAGCAAATTTCACCACTGGAAACATTTATTATTTCAGAGTATGTTCCAGCCCTGAAATGGAACCACAAAGACAGTTTGCTGTGGAAATTAGTCCTACTCTTATAGCTTACCTTTATAATGTTACTCAGTTTCGGTAAGAGTTTTAATTTTTGATTGAAAGATGCTTCATATCTGTCTTTATAGTTATGGAGCGAGAATGGGAATCCCGAAAATGGATTTAATGGTATTGCCAAATATGGTTTCTAGTGCCACGGAAAACTGGGGGATAATTACTTTTCGGTGAGGATTAAAAATTTAATAGATAGCTTCAATGCTACAGTTGAAGAGTTCCTAAAATGATGCTTCTTACATCATCTTAGACCTCAAAACTTGATAAGAAAACAGAATCAATAAACCGAAAAAATATCGCATATAACTGCGTACGCTCTATGCAATAGGTCACAATAAAAACTCCTAAAAAAGTTAAAAATCTTTATTCCATGTAAAATATGCAGTTTCTCGGCTTTTTATATTCACATTATTTTCTCTGCTATTGATAATGACAAAAGACATATTCAAAAATTAAATGGTAGCGTCACAATTTGGATTTCTCACCCTGCTCTCACTTCTTTTATTACAGTCCACTTTATTGAAGCTGCCATGGTGACATTTGAATACCTTCTTATATTCATACTTCTGAAGATGAGGAAATGCGTATCTCACAATCCAGTTAGTTTTTGTTATGGTACTGTATCTATCAATCCAACTGTAACCCACTCGCTATTAGATAATTCTCCTTCATCACATTTCTTCTTGGTGCGTATGGTTAAAGAATAATTATTTACATCCATTTTAATAACATTCGCAAAGAAGAAAATGGGTAATGAAAAAAAAGGGAATGGCACATCGCGATCTGTGCTCGAGTACCTATATTTTTGAGAGTGTGTAGGCATTTACTACCTATACCACGATATAGAGCTTACTACGCGTGCTGTACAGGGTGGCCCGTTTAAGAGGGGCCTATACCTTATCTCGAAATCTACAAGGGCTGTGAAAAAAACTTAAATACAAAAGTTGTTTCTAATAAAATTATCTACAACTTTTTTGTATTGTTTTTGTTGTCACTCTACCATATACAGGGTGGACAAATGAAATTTAATTTTTTTAATGGGACACCCTATATTTTAATAGACTTTTACATACCCCTTTGAAAGACAAATCCAACGATATACCTGTCATGTGTCTGTGATAAACCGTTTCAAACTTATTAGCGATTATCTTCAGGATTTGGGGTAATTTTCAACAGTCATTGTTACGTGACTCATAAACTTTTAAAACTTTTTTTTGTATGACATTTTCTATAAAATAATGCTCTTCTTTAGACTATATTCAAATTTGAAATATTTGCTTTTAAAACGCGGTGTTGCCACGTTTCGCAAAATGTTACGCCTTTCAATTTTTTTAAATGGGATCTTCTGTAAATTTTCGAGTTTTTGGATAGCCCTTTAAAAGACAAATTCAACGATATACTGGAAATGGGTCTGTGATGCACCGTTTCGGCCTGATTAGCATTATCTTCAGTTCTAGCACAATATTTTATCTGTCCAAGTCGCCCGGTGAACAACAAACATATGTCTATTTTCCGTTGACCAATCTATCAACGTGCTTTATTATTGTATAGAAAATTGTTCAATAATGCCACCATTAATGCATAAAAAGCACTATTTCAGCTAATCTACTACAAAATTAGACATTTTTTTCATTCAACAGGGATGACATGAGATATTGTGGTAGAACTGAAGATAAACGCCAATCAGGTCGGAACGGAGCATCACAGATCCATGTCCAGTATATCGTTAAATTTGTCTTTTAAAAGGCTATCCAAAATCTCGAAAATTTACAGGAGGTCCCATTTAAAAAAATTGAAAAGCGTAACATTTTGCGAAACGTGGCAACAGCGCGTTTTTAAAGCAAATATTTCAAATTTGAATATAGTCTAAAGAAGAGCATTATTTTATAGAAAATATCATGCAAAAAAAAGTTTTAAAAGTTTATGAGTCACGTAACAATCACTGTTGAAAATTACCCCAAATCCTGAAGATAATCGCTAATAAGTTCGAAACGGTAGATCACAGACACATGACCAGTATATCGTTGGATTTGTCTTTCAAAGGGCTTTGCAAAAATGTAATAAAATATAGGCCGTTCTATTTAAAAAAAAAGAAATTTTATTTGTCCACCCTGTATATGGTAGAGTGACAACAAAAACAATACAAAAAAGTTGTAGATAATTTTATTAGAAACAACTTTTGTATTTAAGTTTTTTTCACAGCCCTGGTAGATTTCGAGATAAGGTATAGAGCCCTCTTAAACGAGCCACCCTGTACATTAGTATAGCTAGAATGTTAAGCAACGCGGTGTTTCGTATTACAAAGCCTACTGTTTTATAGAGCAGATCGGTCCTGCATATTAGTACAGATAGTAATTACGGTTCGGGACAGGGAACGTAGAAGCACTGAAATGGCTGAAGTGTCTAATTTCCTGTTTTTTTTTAACAAGTCTCATGAAACTCCAGGGTAAGCGTATCCAGTTGCTATGTTTACCCCGGAATTATGCTTAACCCGGGGGTGACTCCCTATTGAGAAACCGGCCCTACAACAAATTTCCTGTTTCTTTCAAGAAGTTACATGAAACTTATTTCTCCAGTGTGTCACCCGCTGCGTGGGTTGTAGTTTCTTGAATTTGATAACAATAGTATATTCCTAGTGTGCTTGTCTTTGACAACATAGACCCCAAAGAAACTCTCAAGGAGAGTGAAACTTCTCGAGTCAATGGCACAATAGTTCAACCATTTACCTTACCGATAGTTCTACTTAGTGCTAGAAAATAACATGACTTCATTATTTCTGCGCTTGTTCACAAGGAAAATAGAAATGATAGAAGATCACCCTCTTTCACGATACATTGAGGAAACAAGAAATGGACTTGCTTTGTCAATAGAAGCCGCCGCCCTTCGGGCTGAGTGAGCAATATCTGTTGATGAAGCAAGACACAAGAACAACGTAAATATGACTTTTGTAAAATCCAGTCGACCTGTTTGTGGACTGGCTTCAATATACTACTGAAAGATCAGCGGAAACTAATGGGACCGTCTTGCTTATTTCTTTATTGAGTTTTTAAAATGCCTGAATACGATATACAATTTATGTAACAATAATTTGACCAAGCTCCAAATTATGTAGCCCATCATCCTCATAACCAACTGGAACTCCTTTCAAAGCTTTCTTGTCCATTTCTTTCTCGTCTCTGTTTGGGAACATATGCATAGCAAGAACTACCTATTACTCTCAAGTGACTAATTTTTGGTTTTTAAATAAACCAAACTTCATAGGGTGTTTTTTCTTTTAAATGTTTGATTTTTCTGTACGATTTAGGATAAAAGCTGATGTGTTAATCATTTCAGCCCAAAATAATAATATGGTCAAATATCCCATATCCGTTCTCTAGCATGCATTAGAGCTCTTGCATCCTCAACAACCGTTCGGTTTTCCCTTTCACCAATCCCAGTCTTATACCTTTTGAGTCTAGGATGTTCTTGAATTCTTTAGGTTTTGATCTGAGCTAATAAAACGTGCTTTAGTTTATCCACGACTTCAGACTTGTTTTTTATAAAATAGATGAAACGGTGTCTGGGAAAATCATCTTTCAATGATACAAAATAACCATAGCTTGCCTTGGAGGTCCACAAACAGTGTGAATTATCTCAGCAGGTGCATCAGCTCATTATCTTGTAATGAACTTTATGAGCTCTAGCATAGACGCAGCCTTGGCAAACTTCGCTATCAAGCTTCACATTTATGTCTAACTCATTTTCCAATATCCAATATGGTTATTGTTGAAGTGTTTAGAACGGATCTTCGGGACTTTGAAGAATGAAACGTATGACACATTTAATGATGATATTTATAAATTTACAAAATACACTAAACAATGTGTCCTAACTCTAGGTTTCAACATCCTCCCTCATTGGGAAATTGGTCAACCCCAATTGTGTTTCTTAAAAACTCAAGCCTTGGCTTGGACAATGTTTTTTTGTTTCAGTCGTTGATATGATATGGCAAATAGGTGGTAGACGCTTTTTACTCATTGGGCGTCGACCGGTGAGATACCACCATGCCAGAATTAAGTAGCGCTAAGTGGTATCACCACGTTCCGCTACTGCGCTGGCAGTCCGGTTCCAACAATGAGTAACAGATAGCATGATGGCGCCTCCAGGATCAAAATATTCCGGAGGTAAAATACCCGACCACTCGGATCTCCGGGCGTCGGGTGATCCTGGGGGTCCTTCATGCAAAGATATAAAGAGAAGATCAAAAACTCAACTCAGAATTGATTTTAGCAATATAAGAGGAATAAGTACAAATATGAATTCAGTTCACCAACATCTTGAAGAACAAAGACCTGACATCCTTGTTCTCACTGAAACTAAAATCAGTTCTGCAACACCTATTGTGAACTATCTTTATCCCGGCTATGACCTACACCACCGATTTCGACATAATTTTGGGATCTGTGTGTACATTAAAAATGACCTTTCATGTCATCGAGAGGAGAAGCTAGAACCAGCGAACCTTGATATCATATGGCTAAAATTCACCTCAAAGTCATCGACCAAGTTTATCTGCTGCCTCTACCGACCGCCAAGTAACACCGATTACCAAAACTTTTTCGCGACATTATCCGAAAGCTGTGATAGTATACAGTCAAACTATCCACAGGCGGAAATTGTCTTTTTAGGCGATTTCAACGTCCACAATATACCCTGGCTGAAACACCACAACAAAACAGATAACGAAGGCAGAGAAGCAGAAGCTTTTGCCGTAAGTTGTGGTCTAACGCAGCTTGTCGATGAACCTACCCGTATCTCAGAAAGGGTCGAATTTGCAGCGCTTTTAGACTTGTTCCTAACCACCAATCCTGACTCGTACACAATTCAAGTAGATGCTCCACTTGGTTCGTCCGATCATAAACTTATAATAACAAAGTACGAAATGCTCATCCCACCAAGCCTACAACCACTTGCTCGTAAAATGAGGCACTATAAATCGGCAAAATGGAATGACCTAAAACAGTATTACCTGGATTTTCCATGGCAAGAGGTTTGCTTTAAAACAGCTGATCCCACTATTTGCTGTAATGAAATAACACAAGTAATCTTATCTGGAATGGACGCATATATCCCACATACAACACAACAAACGTAGAGCTAATGCAAAACCTTGGTTCAACAGCCAGTGTCA